CAATGATGGCAATCAAAATAATGTAAAAAAGCAGCTAAGGAAAAAATTATTCTATGGAAAACACAGTATAAACACAAAACTGCTTAAAATATTAATTCAAAAACAGTGAAAAATTGCTTTTTAAGTTTGAAATTTGTTATTCATCTTGTAAAAGTACAGCAAAAGGTACTTAATACAAAGTATCTCTTGCTCGTGAAATATGTTAATTCCTTATATATTCTGGTGGGCTAGTTTTATTTAATGATTAATTGGTAAGATAGTTACTATTAATACTATTTAGACCTAATTAGTACTTACAGCATCAATATGCAATACCTGGTAATTTATGGAGATTTACACCTGCTGTCTGATTATAAACTTCTTTCACAACAGAATCCATTTTGATTCAATCACATTTGAATTGAGAATCAGTTCTCAGCTTAGCTGATAATAGAACATGGGGTAGGAGGCAGCAAATGAGAGTGTGTGCCAGGAGATTCATAATATCAAGAACAAGTAAGAAGCTAAGAGGCTGGAAAGAAGGAATCAGCAGTGAATATTAGTGGTTGTTCTTTCAAGAGGATCTGGGTCTGGTTCTCAGTAATCATATGGCATCTCACAATAGTCTGTAACTCCTATTCCAGGGGATATGGCACCCTATTCTGGCCTCTCAGACACTGAATGCATATGGTACACTTACATATATGCAAGCAAAACACCTATAGATATAAAATATAAATAAATATTAAAAAATTAGAAAGTCAACTGCCACTATGTGATGCTATGAGACTTGAAGGACTGACTCAGTAAAGGTTGAACCAGAGACACAGGCAAGGCCAGAATTCTTCCCAAAACTTCAGGGTGTGTGTGTGTGTGTGTGTGTGTGTGTGTGTGTGTGTGTGTGTGTGTAGAAATTCCTCCTAAAAGGATCAGACCCAAAACTCAAGTCCAAGTGGATCAAAGACCTAACATAAAACCATAAAAATGAACTTGATAGAAGAGAAAGTGGTGAATAGCCTTGACCATACTGGCACAGGAGACAACATTCTGAACAGAACTCTAGTCACGCAGGCTCTAAGATCAACAAGTAATAAATGGGACCTCATGAAACTGAAAATTTCTGTAAATCAGGGACACTATCAAAAGGACAAAATGGCAGCCTTCAGAATGGGAAAATATCTTCACCAACCCCACGTCTGAGAGAGGGCTGATTTCCAAAATCTATAAAGAACTCGAGAAAATAGATAACAAATCAAATAATCTAATTAAAAATGTGGTACAGATCTAAACTGAGAATTCTCAACAGGGATCTCAAACAGTCAAGAAGAACTTAAAGAAATGTTCAATATCCTTACCCATCAGGGGAATGCAAGTCAAAATGACTCTGAGATTCCATCTTACGCTTGTCAGAATGACTAAGATTAAAAGCACAAGTGACACCTCATGCTGGCAAGGATGTAGAATAAGAAGAACACTCTTCCATTGCTGGTGGAAATGCAAATTTGTACAGCCACTTTTGGAAATCTATATGAGAGTTTCTTAAAATATTGGGAATCAACCTATCTCAAAACTCAGCCATACCACTCCTGGGCATACCCAAAGGACACTATACCACCAGGACCCCTGTTCAATCATGTTAATAGCTTTATTCAGAAACTGGAAAAAACCTAGATGTCCATCAACTGAAGAACAGATAAAGAACACGTGGTCCATTTGCACAAAAGAGTATTACTCCGCTGTTATAAACAATGACATCATGAAATTTGCTGGGAAATGGATGGAACTAGAAAAGATCATCCTGAGTGAAGTAACCCAGACCCAGAAAGACACACATGGCATGTACTCACTTATAGGGAATATCAGCTGTATAGTAAAGGATAATCATGCCACAATCCAAAGACCCAAAGAAGCTAAGCAATAAGGAGAGTTTAAGGGGGACACACATGAATCCTACTGTGAAGAGGAAATAGAATAGACATAACAGGTCAACAGGGGTGGGGTTGGATGTGGAAGTGGACATAGGAAAAGGAGGGATCTGTTGGGAGGAAGAGGGAGGGAAGGAGTACTGGGAAAGACAACTGGAATCAGGGGAATCTCTGGGATAAGTCAGAAACCTAGGGCAATGGCAATTCCCAGGGTGACCCTACATAAGACTTCTAGCAATGAGGGATATAGAACCTAAACTGGCCATCTCATGTAACCAAGCAAGACTTCTAGTGGACAGATTGGGACCCCAACCCAGTCATATAACCTTTGACCTACAATTTGCCCTGCTTACAAGATATGCTATGGGAAAGGTGGCACAAAAATTAAAGTCATAGCCAACCAATGACTGATCCAGCTTGAGACCACCCCTGACACTGCCAAGAGGGCCAGGACCCAGAGACTGGACAGTCCAGAGACCTAGGATAGAATCAAAAATGACTGGAAAAAATCAATGAAATGACTTCTAGTGATATTCTGTTATACTTATAGGTTGTTGCCTAGCCTGTCACTAGAGAGGCTTCACTCAGCAACTGATGGAAATGCAACACTAAAATGGATCAAAAACCATAAAGATATTTAACTTTTAACCCATCATTTTACGAGCCCAAGACCAAAAAGATGAGAAGTTGAAAGCAAGAAACTATGTCAAGCAGCATCCTACATATACACAAAACAATGGGTGAGCATAGAAAGAAAGATTGATTTAAAAATAATATATGAAATAAAAATAAAATTAAAAGGAAAGAAGAGATGGCTCAGCAGTTAAGAGTTCATACTGCTCTTTTAGAGTACCTACGTTCTGTTCCAAGCATCCTTGTTGGAAGGTTCACAACCATCAGAAGTTCCAGCTCCAAGGGATCCAATGCCCTTTTCTGACTTCCAAGGGCATCTACACCCATGTGTACACATGCATATATACATAATTTTAGTAAAGTAATATTTTATTTACTAATAAAAATAAGTATATTTGTTTAATAAAATAAATCTTTAAAGATATAATAATTAGTCTTAAAAGTAAAACTAAGTAACATGAAAATGTTTATATTAATAGCTTTTATAATGTAATGATAATGATGTAAATACATATTAATGGACATAAGGACCAAACAGCCATACAATGATGAAAACAGTTACTATTAATAGTCATTAACTTTTAATGTTATTAATATGCTTCCTTATATTTAAATACAAAAGAGTTACTTATTAGTTATATCAGTTATTTTCTAAGGAGGCAGCACTACTAAATCCATTTAAAACCTAGAAAGATTTTAATGACTTTTACCTACATCAGTTACCCTGATAAGTCATCACCACTTTGGTGGATCACGAATACTTCAGGTGCTTTCTTTTCATTCTTTGGGTACTTTCTTAAAGGGTATAAACAATAGGAAGTGGGTTATGAAATAAGAAATACCCAGGATATTAATTACTTATATGTATATAGATACATGTGAATATGAATATGTTTGTGCATAAGTGTGGCTATATATGTGTGTGTGTATAGATGTGTATGTGTGCATAGATGTGTACATGTGTGTACATGTTTATGTATGAGTGCATGAATTCTAGCTATTATGCCATTTTAAATCATTAGTATTACTGATGTCCTCAAAAATTCTTAGAATAGTAAACATCTGCTGTACATTCTAAGATCATATTTTTTAAAATTGGGTATTCAGTTTATTCATTTTATTTTTATATATGATTTGCCTGCATATATGTATGTGAACCATGTGCATGCTTGGTGTCCACCAAGGTCAGAAGATCTGGAGTTACAGATGATTATAAGTCACCAACTCTGTGGGTGCTAGGAAACAAACTCAGGTTCTCTGCAAGACGAACAAGTGCTCTTAACCACTAAACCATCTCTGCAACATCCTAGACCACATATTCTAATCCCAACCTCCTGGACCACATATTCTAACCCCAATCAGTGTGCTGATAGCATGAAACAGACAAGAAAATAGAAATCCAAAGGCTGAGGTTCCCAAAAAGAAATTTTTTAAAAATTGAGGTTTAACATTTTTAAAAATAAAATTTGGCAAAGGTAGCACTTTAGTTGCTAGGTGGAGGGAAGAAGATATAGGAAAAAGTACAAAAAGCTGGGTACCATCAGTAGGAAGTGGTAGGGATTATGGCAAAGAGTAGGACGTACCACATCAGCAGCACAGCTGACAGTCATGAATATAGACTCAGTCTACAGCTGCCACATACCCAAAAATCTTTCAAAAGGCCAAAAATAAAGATGTTCATGGGAAATTTCTGGTCCTGTAACTGCTAACAAATATTTTAGCTTATTTTAACTTTATGTTCCTGTAACAGACAGGTAATGGCTGTCCTTGTGTTTATTTTGTTTCATGGACTTGTTTTCTACCTTTGAACTATGCAGGGACTTCACAAGAGATTGTCTGTATTATTTACTGGCTAAGGCATAAACCACATTTTTATTTAGACCTTTTCATACCAGGGTGAAAACAAGAAAAGGTACAAAACAATGAACCTAAAGTAAACTGTGGAACACGGGTAGGCATCAATCCAGGGTCACTATGAGAACATGATATGAAAACCTGAATGATCCTAAGTAAGGAAAACTGTCAAGGATTTGGATATTCTGAATCACTACAAAAAGAAATTATCCTTAAAAGCTTGTTATAAATGTGGCTCCCTTTGCTGAAATTACATTGACATTGTTAAGAGAAAACAAACGCTAACCAAGGTGGGGCAGCCATGAGCTACAGAACTGTAGACAGGATGCACATGTCCTGTGTTGTACCTACTGCTCACTTCTCTTCGCCTATCCCATTCTTCCAACCTTCCTTCTCTTTCCTAGGCTAATGGTAAAAAATTCTTGGCGAATCCTAAGACATGCCTGGCACGTGGCTGTGGGAAGAGAAAACTAGCTGTAAATAAGCTTTCACTTCAGCGACAGAAGTTCCTGGTTGTCACAGTTCAACCTGCCAGGTGGGCTAAGTAAGGGGAGAGCTGTCCACTCAACTGTCATTTGCATCACATGCACCCAAGGAAAAAGTGTTTACCTGGTGGAGCCACGGTTAACCTTTTTTCCTTGCTGAGCCGATGCCCTTGGATGAGTTCACTCATGGAAGGGGAACCTTTCAGAAGAAATGATTCTGTGGAGGTGGGATCAGGGGGAACTCTTAATAAATTCTGTAGGTAGGAAGCCCCTGAAGTCCTGGGACGGCTCTGATCACAAAGGGAAGGTGAAAATTGTCTTGCAGGAGATCCAAGAAAAATACATATAGGAAACAAAAAAGTTTTACTTTAATTACCTTTCAACACCTCACCAGTGACAACATTATTCATATTGGCATTTAATTATCTTTTAAAAATGAAATCAAGATTTTTTTGTAATTTGTTAGTTTCCATATCAGGATACAACCTTTTTTTGAAAACTACTCTGAATATTGGAATAGAAATTTATTATAGTTAGACATTTTGAACTACAAATAGAAAATATATATATATTATTTTTGATTCTTAAACAAAAGATTCTCAAACAAAAAAAATTGTATTAACTGAAAACAGGGCAAGTAAGTCAGCAACGAGAATTTGGTAAAAGGTTACAAAATCAAGACACTAAAATCCTTAAAGGTAGATTCTCAGCAATATTAACATGACTAATAAAAAAAAGTCACAAAAACTTGCTTTTAAAAAAAAGATTATATATATTCTATTCCATTTTATCAAATATAACAACAACTTTTCATCAGTTATAGTCTTATGGACACATGTTTCTCCTAGAGAACTAACTCATATCTTTGCCCCATGACGGAAAAAAATAACAAAGAACATCTTTTCCAGAGACATGGCATTCACAATTATAGCCCATGTTCACAGAGCTTCACTTTTAATATCAACCTTTATCTACCCATTTTTAAGTTGGAGGATAGGGAGAGACATATGTATGTACATAAACAGCAGCAAAACCATTAACAGACACTTAAAAATCATGATCTCTTAATCAGTATGTGTGAATGGGTGGCAGAAAGACCAACATTAGCAATGCCCATTAGTAGCTTTCACTTTTTTCTTTTTTTCCCCCTTTCTCTATCCTGCATAACAAAAGTACAGAAATTTTTGCAGTTAACTAAAATCTGTCCACTGTACCACACTATGACAATAGCTGCATGCATACCTTTTCCTCTGAGTGCCACTGCTGACCCGAATGGTGGGTGTCTGTGGACCCTGACTATGCAGGAGGTAAGTGTCTATGGTAGGCACAGTGGCTGGCGTCTCCCCACTTACTTTAGGGCTGCCGATCTTGCTCTTTCCAAGTTTGCCTTTGCTGCGTCTGGACTGCTCATGGTCAAACTCTAAGTCCTCCAGCCGCTGTGTCAGGGCGAGCTTTTGCTGGATAGCCATTCGCAATAAAGTATTTAGAGTCTTCTTCTCATCTTCTGCAGCTGCTAATTGTCTCTGCATCTCATCCAACTGTGTGACATATTCATCACATCTGGAACCCAAGCATAAAGGGGTGAGGAAGCAATCCCGGTGAAGCTAAACTGGAACTTGATTTAAAAAGTACTCCTCTCTCACCCTCAGCCCAGTTATTGATGTCCATTGTAGTATCAAAACGTTTATCATGCAATACTGATAGAATATATACAAATGTTATATTACTATGTCTAATAATATAATCTAAGCTTTATTAGAGGCATCTACATATGAGGGAAACAATAATCTATAGGGCTTGATACTAGTGGTTTCAGACATCACCTGGGAGTCTTGAGTTATAATCCCACATAGCATAATAAATTTGACTGGAATTTAGAGCACTGATCTTACTAGCAATAAAATGGAGATACTCTATAATAATATGTTGTAGAATATTTGTTTACACTGTGTGAAGATGTATCTATGTTTTGCCTCACCTGCCTAAGGCACTTGATTGGTTTAATAAAGAACTGAATGGCCAATAACTAGGCAGAACAGAATAGGCGGGACTTCCAAGCATAGAGAGGAACTCAGGGTTAGAATCTGGTGCAAGAGCAGACTCCAGAAAGACATGAAGGGAGTTGGACATACAGAATAAAGAAGAGGTAAAAAGTCATGTAGCAGAACAAGATTAATAGAAGCAGGTTAATTTAAGCTATAAAAGCTAGTTGAAAACAAACCTAAGCTAAAGGCCAAGAATTCATAATGAATAAGTCTCCATGTCATTTTAGGGGGTTAGTGGTCCAAAGAAAGTCCATCAAGAAAGTCTAGCTACAATAATAGACAATTGGAAACAGTAAACCATGTTCAGTAATTGGTGGTTCATAAGGGAACATTCTAATTAAGCAGGATAAGCCTCAGGGATAGTTATTATGGAAGCAGCTTTGTGGTGATAATATAATTTCACATATCATCCACCCCTACTTTAGGTATATTACAATTGCTGTCTGTATTGAATAATACTGTATCCATTGCAAAAAGTTTGTTGTATGCTATACCGACAGTAGTCAAAAGAATGGCAATGGTAATAAAAAGAACAGTTCTTCCTTTGGCTGTACTTACAAGCTTCATTTTAGATTAGAGCAGACACTGTTTTCAATATGGCAGATTTCCCCAAATTAAAAAATTAAAGTTTCAATGAGTTTTCAGCCAAATAATAAAGCCATGAGTTGTCAAAAAAGATTTTTAAAAGTTTGGTTCAGGCACAGCAGGCCATTGTGAACATCTTCATCCCACTTCATATTATACTGAAGCACAAAGACAAGCTCAGTGTTATTTCCCCAATAAGCCACATATATTTGGAAAAAGTAGAATGAGAAGTAAACTCACAATGGAGTTTTGCTTAGTTTAAGTATTAGTAACAGTTATTCTGTACTAGTAGTTAATGAGCTCATACAATTATCCAAAATATATTGTACAAACTGAAATTAGCACAGTTTGAGGTATTACACAGAAAAAACAAACCAGGAACTATATTTAAAATGTATTAGGTTCAAGGGGTAACCTTTAATATTAAGACTATGGGTCTATGTAGATCATGAGAAAAATCAGAACTTATTGGAAAAAATGAATTCTAGGACCTTGGAATAATTCTTTTTTATAACTTGAAAATATTTTAAATATAAAATAAGGCAATTACTATCCCTAAAAGAAACAAATGTCTGTGAAAATGGACAGAAAGGGGGCAATAATTAAAATATTAGCCAAGTTGAGCATTTAAATATCCCTTTAAATTTTTAAAATTTGTTTCTCAAAGAGGAAATATGTCTTCTCTTAATCCTGAATGTTATGCTGATTTTTTTCATCAAAAAGGCGACCTTGTCTCCCTTTCCATTCGTTCTTTGTCCTGCCACTATAGTTACCATAAATACACATATTCTAAATACAACTGAATTTTGTGAGAAACCCAGAAGCCAATTCCTGTGAGAGCCTCTGTTGTCCTGTGGTCTAAGTTTTCTCTTTGCTATATCCATGACATTCAGTCACATGTCCAAACTTAGATTTGTTCGTGTGGGTATCTCATCATTTTCTTCATGAAAACAAAATACATTTATTCATAAATATTGTCAATGCTTTTTCCATCTGCAATACTCAATTTTGAGGAGAAAAAAGTACCTTGTTGCAAACATTGCTCTTAGGGATGAGAAGGTTGCAGCATCTTCTTTCAAAGCCTTCAGTTCATTCCTCAGTTTTGTCATTGTTTCAGTCACCATTGCCTTTTCATTTTCATATTTGTTCTTCAGATTAGCTAGAGCCACTTCAGCTGTCTGAAGCACAAAATCACAGCGCTTACTAACTCACACCGGAAAAACCTGCTCCACACATTTCTTTATGCCAAATCTATTCTTTGCTCTTATAAATGGAAACAGAAATTGTTTAGGCTGGATTTTTGCAAAAGCATCTATATACATTGAATACAGAGATGTTTCTCTTTAATGTCAAATCATGTCATAATTCAATAATGTTAAATTGTCCTTAAAGCCTGCTGAGTGACTTAGTATTAGAAGCCAAGGTGATGAAAGTAGTTCAGTAAATACTTCATGCTGGTTGTTGAAGGTGTATGATTTTCAGATATTTAGAGAGACAAAACAAAATTTTAAACATGAATGATGTTTATCAAGAAGTTAGTAAAGAACCACGATTCCAAATGAAATGTGAGAAATCAAATACTTTTTGTCACTGTTCCTGTGGGTCTAAAACATAGAATAAAAAATGTAAGCTACTGTAACTTACAACATGAGTATATAATGAACTACATGTTCAAGTCATAGAAGTGACGAGAAATCAAGCATTTCCTAAATTTTTAAATAAAAAAAAACTTGCTCAAAACAAAGAACTATCATCAAATTATTTGTGTGTCTCTGTATGTGAGAGACAGGAAAAAAAGAGAGTGTGTACAAAATGTTGAATGAGTTTTCCGAATTAGTGATTGGGGCATTTCTGAAGCTCCTTGAATGAACAATGTTTTAAAACAAGAGCTAGCCTAACACAGTAGGAGATAAAAACCACATCAGCTGAATCAACTGGTGCCACTGGCAAATGTTTAAAAACTTCCCTTTTGATGCACAGCACAAGAAGTCAAACAGGAAGCACTCTAGTTTTGTAAACTTTAAACTGTAGCCTTGCAATGCAAAAAATATCTAATACTAATTAAAAAATTACTATTGGTATTTCCAGAAGACTATAATGGTTTTTAATATGTTCTTTTGTGCTTGAAATAAATATCAGTCAACTTTCTTATGCAAAGTATTCAATTAATATTTTATGTGTATGAATGTTTTGCCAAATATATCTATGTCCCATGTACATGCAGCTCCAATAGACAGCAGGTGAATGTATCAGATTCCCTGGAACTGGATTTATAGACTGTTGCGAACCTCTTATGAAGGTACTACGAATCAAATCGAGGTCCTCTGGAAAAGTAGTCAGTGTTCTTAATCATGGAACCATCTCTCCAGTTCCATTTGTTAATGTTTAGACTATAAATTAATTTTCATTAGTTTTGGCTTAATTGAAATTCTTATTAAATTAAAAATTATTCATAAGATATTTTATTCTATGCAGCATTAATTCTCAGTAGAATACTCGGGAATATTATAAATTCATAAAATAGTCAATAATGCATAAATTGGGAAATTTTTCAATTATTTAATTTTTTAAGGTTTAGGCAAATATTCATTTAGAACAGAAAATAAGTGTAAATTGTAAAGATTTAGATATAACAAATTTGTAAGCATGAGGTCATTACGTGAGAGGAGGATTGAGAGGGAGTGACAACTAATCTCAAAGGGAAGTATAAACTCGTTTATCATTTGTGACAAATTCCCAGAACAACTCTACTTTGCTTATATTTTTATCTATAGACTGAACAAAGCTCACAAATATTAAATATCTAAAACCCATTAGGTTTATTGACATCTTTATTCACCACATTCTGGTGTGGGAGATCCTTCTGTCTACCTGTTGCTTTGATTGGATAATGAATAAAGAAACTGGCTTGGCCTGTTAATAGGGCAGAACCTAGGTAGGTGGGGAAAATTGGACTGAATACTGGGAGAAGAGAGGTGTTGTTTGAGAGGCACCATGGAGCCACTGGAGATAGACATGCTGAAACTTTGCTGGTAGGTTATGACCTTGTGGTGATGCATAGATTACTAGAAATAGGTTAAATTAAGATGTAAGTATTAGCCAATAAAAACTTAGAGCTAATGGTTAAAGCAGTGTTTTAATTAATATAGTTTCTGTGTGATTATTTCAGGTCTAAGCTTAACCAGGCAGCCGGGAACCAACAAGCAGCTCGCTCTTGCAACAACATTCTCCAAACACTCTGGGATTTACTTTTAAAAAAGAAAAAAGGAGAGACAAAAAACCCTACTAACCATTATTTCCAACTATAGAGACCTTTGTAAGCATTTCCTAAATGTAACAACCTGTTTCTATACTTTTGTCCCTCTCTACATCACATTCTTTTGTCTGAAATTAATTCTTCTTCCCATGGGATAACCTCTATCCCTCTAAGAACAATTCCAATTATATTTGCTCTGGAAAGTTTTTATTAATTCCCATAGATGTTAGTTGTTCTGCTTCCAATATTCCCATAACTTGAATATAAAATATGTAACATTACACTAATTTATCTGTGGGTTTTAAGGGCTATGAATCCCCTTCTGAAAGGTAGAGACCATGTATTTGTTGTTGAGTCTTCACATCTGACACAAGTAAATACATAGCTGGTACTTTATAACAACTATTTTATTCTATCAAAAGGCATCACGCTTCTTGGGAAAAAATTATAACATAAAATTCATAGAGAATACATTATACTTGTTTTAAAACAAGATGTTTCCCTTTCCTCCTAAACCACAAAATTTTCACATCAACTTTAATAATTAGCATTCCACAATGTCTATGTCTCACTGATGTCACCTATTGATACTTGAAACAATTAATGGCACATAAGTACTACAATAATCTACAGCAATTTTTCAACATTATTTAGATGAGTACCAAACACATATCAAGAAATGTTTTCACATAATTTACTAAGCCATTAAAGCTATGGCTCTAATGTAGCTCATTGTGAAAATATAAACTCAGCTAGGAATGTTCTTTTCTCTTTTGAATTCTTATGGCACTCTAAAAGACTTTATATATTCTGTCTTGTAAGTACTTAAAGGAATGTACTGAATTTACAATGGATTACTAGTAACTTATTTTTATGTTCTATTTTATATCCCCATATGAATGCTTATTCACAAGTTAGGCCTTATTTTTTCAATTAAGCATCTTCACTTTTAAAAAAATCTATATTTCTATGTTGCTGATATTTAACCTTCAGAAAGAGATCAAGAAAGGTATCCAGGTGCCTGGTTGAGAACACTCAAAAAATTATGTCCTTGAAAGAAGTTATATGAGTCAAGCCTAACATATAAGTTACTCATGACTACTCTATATTGTAGGGTTTTGAAATTCAGCAGTTACATCAATAATCTTCTTTTTACTGATTTCAAAGTGAAGTCAGAATTCTTTTAATTTTTTCATGCACCTTAACATTTTCTACTTCTGTAAGTGATGATGTAAAACAAAGTTCTATCTTCCCCTTAAGTTTAAACAAAGCTTGTTTATATTGTGAACAATATTCCTGCCTGTGGTACAGACATCCAATTTGTATCAGAGAATTCATGGAAACAGAGGAAGAATAGAAAGCAGATAACACATTGGTGTGGCTTCAGTAAGATATAAGTAAAAGAAGACACTCTGAAAAGGAAATGAGTCTTCATTCTCTAAAGAGCATGCATTCCCATATTCCACTATTCACCAGCATTGCCTGTGTTTGCAAGGAAGGATTTCATGTGCTGCTGATGCTTTTCATCAACACCAATATTTGTTCAGTATTCCTCTCAAATACGTATCTTTTGAGGCTATCTTTTCAGATAAACAGTATTATCCTCCAGTCTATATATCAGGACATTCACACCTAAGTAAAACGCAATAATGGAAAACAAATCCGTCAATAAAGAATTGTCAGGTAGGTTCATATTGAAGCAGCCTACTTATTCCAGAAGGGTATAACCTGTATTTAAGAAAAATTCCCTAAAGCTTCAGTTCTGACACAAGTAAACTAACAATTAACTATATATAAAGTCTGTCTGTCTGTCTCTCTCTTCCTCCCTTCCTCCTTATCCCCTCTCTCACTCATAGTTCCAAACTATTTCATTTATTGGTAAAAGTCTGCTTCTCTTTACTCATATCCCCACAGCTGTATTGTCCTTCATCCTAGATGCCACTGCTTGATCATTTGGTTACTAAGTCTTATTTGTTGAAGTCTGAAATGAATGGCAATATATTAAGTTTCTATCTTGTGACAGCCGTAAAAATTGAGTCTTGCATCCCCATCTCTAAATCTCTAAATCCCCATCTCTAAAGTTGGGTCTACCTATTGCCTGTCAGACCTTTTTCATCATGCCTAACTCCCATTTGCAGTCTCCCTATCTCCCTGGTTGGCATAAGATGTTAGGCAAGCCTCCCCCATGACCCTCCATGGGCTGTTTCCATACTTATTGACCACCAGGTTTCTGCTTATCACTGCCTGGGTCTTTGGGCTTTATCTGCAGCTGGGTCTCTGTTACTGCTATACCTTCCTCATTGCTTGCATTGCCCACCTGTCCACAGCCGCTCTTCTATCCCATCCACTTCAAACTCTTGTTTTATTTTATTTTTATCTATCTATCTATTTATTTTCTTAGAAAAAGACAGAGAGAGAATATTAGTGTCATGGTCCAACTGTTACAGAAAGAGGACAACTTGTGTGATTTGATTATTTTCTTCCACTATATGTGTTTTGAGGATTAAACTTGGGTCATTAGGCTTGGCAGCAAGCATGCTTATTACTAAGTCATCTCATTGATTCAGTAAACACTTTAGAACTAGACTACCTTCTGATTTGGCATTGGGATGTACTTTGCTTTATTGCTTTGTTGGCCAGGGATTTGAACGCTTATCTTGGCACTACAAATTCAACAAAAATTAAGGGAATAAATAAGAAAGCTTTTATTAGTATGTTTTCATCATCAAAATTGTATTACCTGCTTATTGGCTTTCAACACTGCCCTCAGTGTGGCAATCTGCTCCCGCTTGGTGCTCAGCAAGGACTTCAGCTTGAGAATCTCTTCCATTAAGGCTTCTTTGTCCTTATCGATCATGGGAGTCAATTCTCGCGCTGCTGCCCTTTGACGAGACAGCTGTAAGGATCTGTCCACTGCTTTTTGCAGATGCTTGATTTGGTCCCGGATTATGGCATTGAGGTTGTAGATATTCATTGGCTCTTTACGGATATCACTTGTATCCAAAACTGGAGATGAAGGTGGGGCAGTAATAACAGGAGAGATTGTGGGAGTCTTGGTTGGACTTGGCTCTTTAGTAGTCTCTGTGTTTTCTTTTGAAACTGGTTCAGGTGATGTCCTTGATTCTCCTGGGGATGAAATACCCCTCCTGGATAATCTTGGAGACAAAAGCCCCCTAGGATCATCAGGCCCCTTTAGGCTTCCACTTCGGGTGACTCTACTTTGCCTATAGTAGTCCAACATGACCCTGTTGGGAGTTTCATTATTGCATAAGCACACATGGTGATAAAGCTGTGCTAGTTCCTCACTAAATGTCACCAACTCATCCTGGGCTGTATTGAGAGTGTTGTGATTTTCGTTGGCTATGCCAGTCATCTTTTGCAACTCCTTCTCCATGTGGGCCATCTTCTCGCCACTCTCCTTAGATGTCTTCTCAAGGTTTGTCACTTGCTCATCATACATTTGGATCTTACTCTCATATTTTGTCTTTTCTTCTGTATAATTTTCTACAGATTTATTATATTTCTCCTTTAAGGCCTTAATTTCTGCTTTCAAATCAATGACCTCAGTGACAGCCACTCTATATTTACACTCAAGGATCTCTAAGCCATTGATGTCCACCTCATAGTCGTGGGCTTCCTCTGCTGAGTTGCGGCTCTTCTCACAATCTAGCTCAGCCTTGAGCTCCTTGCTGTTCTGCAGGCCCCTCATGGCATTGACATGCTCTGTGAGCCGATGCACTCGTTCATGCTGCTCTGTCAGTGCCCCCTTGGTGTGTTCTAGCTGGGTTTGTGACTCCTGGAGGTTGGCCAGAAGAATAGCTTTTTCTCGTTCTACCTGCAATGACACAAGACAATGTCTGAATAACTTTAGTGCAAAGCCAATAATGTACTCAATGCAGTTAGATAGACATGCATATATGTAAAATGCCCATAGTAGAACTAATGCTCCCATTATTTCAAATTAAATTCGAATGGTTCTTTATTTCCGATTCTGGTAAGTCAATCCAAAAATACCTAATTCATAATATGGGAGTTGATGTAAACGATGCCATTTGAATTTTTTATAAAGAAAATAGAAAAATCTTCTAAATATTCTATTGTTGGCAGTATGATCTTGTTTAAAAAAATGGACTTGGGGGATTCTGTGGTCTTTTTTCCTTGAAAACTAAGTGAATTCCCTCTAAAATTTAAGCATTATCTAAATAAACTGAAGCTTTTTCCAAATAGCCTTTTGGTATAGGAGGTTTTTTTGTTCATGTGTTGCTTTTATTGGTTAATGAATAAAGAAACTGCTTTGGGCCTGATAGGGCAGAACTTAGGTAGGCAGGGGAAACAGAATTGAATGCTGGGGGAGAAAGGCAGAGTCAGTGAAGCCATGGATCTTCTGCCTGAGACAGATGCTGGTTAGAATCTCTGGTAAGCCACTGGCACGTGGTGATACACAGATTAATGGAGATGGGTTAAACTATTATGTAAGAGTTAGCCAATAAGAAGCTAGAGCTAATGGCCAAGCAGTGTTTTAATAAATATAGTTTCTGTGTGGTTATTTCGGGGGCTACGCTATCTGAGTGGCCGGGACAAACAAGCTGCCTCTCCTTGCAACAGCCTTTCCTTTTGGAAAAGTCTATTCAGAAATCGAATCAAAACAAAATGTACAAGATATGTTTCAAGCTTATTGTAGGGTAAAATGTCTTGATAAATCAGGTAATGTATTTTGAACAGCTTTGGGTCTGTTTTATATTTTGTTCATATTTAGTATAACATTTTCTAAAATCTATCATTATAGCAACTATAAAAAACATTTAACAGAACATGGGCTCTCCCCTGTGTGTTTGATGTAGTTTTAAGTAAATTAAATAAGGAATGGCACCCAAATTTCGTATATTTTACACATATTTGTATATAGATAGATAGGTATGCATATATTTTACTATTTGTTCCTAGACAATGTTGGTCTAATAGAATGAGTATGTTTTATTACAGATAATTTCATAAAACTTCAGCATTATATTATCACTCAGCTATTAGAACTTAGAGTACCTTAAATTGTATTTGGATTTCAATGAACATCTGCTCTGCTTAAACAATTTAAGAGTTATTGATCTTTAAAGTAAATGCGAAATACTTCAAAGCTCAAACTGGTTATATATTTTTTGTTGATGGTATTCTTCTTTAATAACTAACAATTTCCACTGATTCTCTTCCTACTGTTCTATCTTATATTGGGAGTTGGGGAATATTTTCTTTAATACTGTATTTATAAAATATTTACTAATTTATATCACATATGATAACTATCAGTAGTGTTATATGCCATAGAAGTTTTTATGGCTTTTTTTAGATGAATACATTTACATTTACTGAAAACATATGACTCTTGCTTGAAAGAACAAAGGAAAAATAATCATAACTCTTATGTCTCCTAACTGCTGGATGGCACAGAAATCCAAGTGTGATAGAATGGCAGCTACAGAAGTATGCAGAGCCAGAATCCGAAAGTAGAAAGACACAGACACAACCCATAGCGGTCTGAATGCCCAGAGCTGGGGTGCTACATGCAGGTAGGGGTCTACAAGAAAGATGGTGATGTTGATTGCTGGTGGAGGCTGAGGCTGTAGCTGAAGACTAGCTGCTCAAATTCTTCTGCCTTTCTCTTTGTCCCACCTTCTGCTACTGATGACTCCCCTCCTTACAAACTATAGTGCCAACGCTGTTTTTCAAAGATTATCCACAACTGATAACTGTGCATGTATTTAATGGATAAAAATATGATACCCTTGAAATCAGCGCTGATGATTTGGGCTTCAGTTGAAAAGAAGCATGACCAAGTTTATAAAAAAATACAGACTGGATTAAAATTCAGGCCACAGCTGTTTATATGGGAAATGGTGGTTATAAGGAAGAAGAAGAAATATTTGCAAGAATATTTGGTTTTCCAAATTCTCTCATGACTTCATAAAGGAAATGGTTTAGATTAATCTCTCAGAACAATACATTATACTCCTTTTATCATTTAAATTGTAACTACATGATAGGGAAAAATTAAGAGCTGTGTAAATTATGTGCTAAATAAATACATCAACTTTTCTAATTAAAGCAGAAGCAAAAGTGATGAAAGATAAAAGAAAGTCTCAAGATAACCCCAAAGGTAATGATAGTTGTAGGGCCTGGGTCTACCCCTGCTCCTGGGGTTCATCTTGAGGACAGTTTCTGGTCAGCCAGCTAAACATTCTGTTTGTTCCTGTGCTCTCTCTGCCCCACCTGGTGATTAGCTATAGTGCATTGTTGACTCCATCTTGGAGTATGGCAATTTCCCACCTGCCTGGGGGGAATTCCTTGTGCAGCAGCTAGGTATATAAGAATTTTCCCAAGGTTGAACAAATGGCATTTGGCTGATCTCCTTTCAATTGACCCAGGTCTCTTGTGTGTTCTTTCAATCTCCAGGCCCTTGCCCAGATCGGTACAGTGGCGCGTGAACTGTACTGAGAGGGTAACGCAGAATCAGGTGTTACAATAGTAAAACAGAAATTGAAGTTAATTTGGATAAAGAAAAAAATACACAAGAACAACAAGAAACAAAACAAACAAAAACAAAGAAATAGAAGAACCACTGAATGTAAGGCATTATGCATTTCACAGAAGTAGCCAGATACTGATAAAAAAGAAAAGAGACATGGGGAAATACAAGCAAGGTTTTCAGAAGAAGACAATAATTTTAGGGAGGGTTAGAGAAAATATGGAGAAGGATGAGCGAAATATTATCATATATGTTCAACAAGTGAATGAGTGCCGTGCTAATAGACAGATGGAGAACTATAAAGAAACTAAAACTGACTTACTCAGAACCTACAGACTAAATTTGCAAGAGATTGATAAAAATAAAAGAACAGTTAAATGTGTTGATAACTAAATGTTGTTTAATCTGGTTACTGATATATCTTAAAGTTGTCTTTAAAGTATTATTAAACTGGTGAGATAGTTCAAGTGGTGTGGGAGGTCCTCCTGTATGTGTGTTGCTTTCATTGGTTGATGAATAAAGCTGTTTTGACCAATGGTTTAGCAGAGTAAAGTCAGGTGGAAATCTGAACAAAGATAGAAAGAGTAGGCAGAATCAAGAATATGCCACATCATCATCAAAGGAAACAGAGATCCAACCAGGCAGATCACGAGACTCATGATAAAATATAAACTATTAGAAATGATTTAATTTATAGTTAGAGCTATCCAGTAAGAGGCCTAAGACATTGGCCAAATAATAATAACTGATAAAAAGCCTCAGAGTGATTATTTCATACGCAGCTGAAGGAACTAGCAAGTGGGACATGGTGGATGGAGAGAAACCCATCCAGGAGTACCAAAGGGACATCTGCATTTAGGGGTTAAGAACACTTGCTTCTCTTTCAGAAGATAAAGGTTTGGTTTCCATTACCCACAGGATGGTTTACAGCTGCATATAATCTTAGTTCTAGGAAATCCTCTTCTGTTATCACAGGCACAGCATGCAAGTGATGCAAACATACATACACGTATGCATACACATAGCATAAATAAATAAATCTTAAAACCAATAAAGTGTTATTTTTCTCTGGCACTCTAATTACTAAGTGGTTATATTCTTAAAATAAAATTGTGGATTATAAATGTATTCTGCAAGAGACTTTATTTTGAGCTTTAAAAAACTTTAACAAAGATGGAGTAGATTAAGCTTCTTTAAAACTAAATGACAAAAATAATTCACATTAGGATTTTTCGAGATAAGATCTTGTTACTATGGAACCCAGGTTGTTCTCAAATTAGTGATCCTCCTACCTCAGCCTCTTGAGTGCTGGAATTAAAGGCATGTCTCACCATATTTCGCTTCATATTAGGACTTTGAACACAAAGAATCAAAGTTATTTTATTAGTCATTGATATCTATGTTCATTTTTTAAATAAAGTGCTGAAAGGATGAATTTATTAAATATAAATTATATACCAATATATATTTCAATTAATCAAGTAAGTAAGTAATTTGCAACATGAAGTTTCACTATATTGCCAAGACTGGCCCCAAATTCGTGAGTTCAAATGATCTTCCAGCATCAGACTCCTGTGTTCCATTAAGTTCAAATGAATCCTGTTATTTTTTTAAAAAATGTTAAATCATACTTATGGTACATGTACATTTTAGTCCTTTATAAGACTAAAGCAAACTATTTAACATATCTACTATCTTATACAGTTATCCTGTCTTATTTGTCTCCCAAAACCCATGTGTTAAAAGTTTGGTGTCCAGCCAATATCAGTACTGAGTGGGTACAGAATCTTCAGAAAGTAGGGCCTAGTAGGAGGGAGCTAGATCACTGCAGACAGGCCCTTAAAGAGGCACTGGAACTCTGGCTCCCATTTCCCTTCTTTTTCTTCCTGGATTTCATGGAGTAAGTAGTTCTATTCCCCAGTATATCTCACCATATTTTGTTTATGGTGACTTTTAGCACAAAGAATCAAAACTATTTTATTAGTTGTCCATTTCTATGTTTTGCTTTTTAACAAATTGTTTTAGAAAACATGATCTCTGCCCCAATACAAACCCAAAAGTGATGGAGTCAAGCAATTGTTAGCAATTGTGACTCTTAAAACAAAACCCCCAAATATCTCTCTATCATGTAAGTTAATTGATCCTAGATATTTGTCATTGCAATTTAAAAATTTACAACACATTGCTATTAATATAATTACCACATTGCTCAAGGTTTCCATATAATTTATTTCTATGGTATAGCTGAAATTTTGGTTGTCTTTAATTTCCCCCATCAACCATCTCTGATAACTCAGACTCTGTCAACTATTATCTTT